AAATTGTGTTTATTGTACAAAATACTCTTAGTTTATTCTATTGGAGAAGCACCCGCTGGGTGCCCTGGCTGGGAGCGGCAGCGTGCTCAGGCCCTTTCCTGCTGCAGGCTGGGGTGACAGCATCTCCTCCTCGTGACCGTGGCCCGGCTTCCCACCACATCCCTCTGGGGTGACTGTTACTGCAGTGGCAGGGTTGGACTCTTGCAGTATGAAGACACAGCAGCTACAGCAAAGAAGACCCACGTCCTGGCTTCTGCCTGGGAGATGGGCTTGCCCTGGGCAGGCATCACCTCCCTGCCAGGCCCTGGGGACAAGGCTGCTGGGCAGGGATGATGGAGGGAGCCCCGTATCTCCCCTGCCAGAGCCAGGATGAGTCGAGACCGCTCACCCCTGCCTCTATCCCCATCCTTCCCCTCTTGTACCTAGGCCCTGGGGAGAGAGAGAAATCCTCCCTCCCTTCTATATCTCCCTGCGGTAACTGCACCCGTGGGAGGGGAGCCTTTCCCTGCCCCTTTTCCCCTCTTTCCCCCCCAGTTGCCGGTGGCAGAGGCAATGGCAGGGCTGGGCAAGCCCAGGCGGTGGGGCTCAGCCCCTGTGCTGAGCTGGGTGCCTGCCAGATGCAGGGCAAGGAAGGGCTAAATCCTGCAGGGAGCTGTGCGAAGCACTGGGGAGGTTAGAAGAGCTCTCCCGGTCCCTGCAGCCAGCGGTCTCTGTGCTTCAGCTGGATCTGCTGTGATGGCAACAACTATTAAATATGATGGTTCATGGAGCGGGGCTGCTGTGCTGTTTGCGTCCCACTGCAGTGGGTTTGGGTCCTGGCTTCTTCCTTCCCTTGGGACCGCAAGAGGAGCTGGAGCGGCTCAGGTTTGGTCCAGGAGCCCCAGCTGCAAGCCCTGGAGGCCAGAGATCATGGTGTGATGATCAGAAGGGACTGCTGGAGGTCATCTGCTCCAGTCCCCACCCAAAGCAGGGCTTACCCTTAGCCCCCCTTCCCGCATTCATGCACCCCCACACCTACACTGTCCTGCAGCAGTGGAGGGTAGGTGGGGGGGGGGCCCCAAAGCTGGGCTGCGGTGGGCACAGGGGCATGCTGGCTCACAGGTGGGCATCGTAAGGGGTACGCCAGCAAGTCCAGCTCATCATGCTTGCTTTTGCCAGCTCTCCTCAGCCCCACCGGCTGCTGCCTGGGTCCTGAAGCGAGGTTGCTTGGGTTTGATGCCGTAATCTGCGGGCAGAACAGAGAGGCTGGGCTCAGCCCGGGACTGCCCACGGGGCTGGGGACAACCGCCTGCCTGGAGAGGTGAGTGCATGGCAAGGGGGTTCGAGGGGGTGAGGAGAGCGAGTGTTGTGCTGTCTACCAGGCTAAAGTTCTGCTGTGGAAGGACCAGGGGAACAGAGAAGTCCTCAGGGATCAAATAGCTGACCCTGCCGAGGAAAGCCAGGGCCAGGAGTGAGCCGAGACCCTGCGGTGCTCGCCGATGCTGGCACAAGGGCTCCCACGCATCACTTGTCCTTCACCCAACCTGGCCAGCTCTCAAGGGCTTGGTGCCACGAGTGCTAGCCCAGACCCAGGCCAGGAGCCCTGGGGTACTTCTGCAGGTACCGGGGCAGGGAGGAGGAAGAGGGAAGCACCATCACCTCTGGTGCAAGGGCCACGAGAGCGCAGCCCTCAGCAGCAGGGCAAGTAACAGGAGCCCACACCGCATGGCACTCGCCAATGCCAGCTCCACAGCAAGGTCACAGCGGAGCCACCCCATGGCCCCGGGACCCAGCCAGGTGGGCAGGGGACAGGTGCTGGTCCAGGCGCTGCTGCCTACCCCCTCCTGCTATGGAAGTTTCTGGTCCTGGGCTGCCTGGTCCTGCCCAGGCCCTGCCAGCTGCTCGCATCCATCTCATGCAGCCACAGCTCCAGGGCTGTTTCCCGGTCCCTCACCACCACCCTTTGCCCCCTCCTCAACCCCTCCAAAAGCAAACTCCTTCATTTCATCTCAGTACCTCCCTGTCCCCAGGAGCAAACCTGCCCCAACACTTTCCAGACTTTGCAGCCTTTGGCACCTTCCTCTACTAAATGCCCCAGTGAAGGGACCCCAGTCCCTCGCTCATGGCTTTTCTGGGCTGCCACCACTGTGTTACAGGACATTGCTGCCAGCTGAGGTGGCAACACCGACCACACGCACTGCCAAAGCCCTGTTGTCCCCGACTGCAGTGGCTCATCAGGGATGTGGAGAGGGGCTACAACCCCCATTTCAGGTGCTGAGGCAAGAAGTCTGTGACCCCTGCAGCCCCTGAAGGATGGTTCAGGTAGGAATGCTCCTGGCCCCCCCTTAAAGCCAACATACCTGGCACTTTCCAGCTCCCAAGCTCTGCCCAGCACTGGCAGCTGCCTATGGGGCAACCGATTGCCACCAGCTGGCTACCCCTTTGTCCTGGCCAAGGCAGCCTCCACAGCAGCTCACCGAGCAGACTGATGCCTCAACTGTCCCCCAGTTAGCAGAGCAGATATACAAAAAGATGGCCATGGCTGTCCAGGCCTCTCCTGCACCCTGTATGAAGTGTGGCACAGCAGTATTTGCTGCATTAATCTCGTCATTTCTCCTCTTCTCTGCCCTTGGCCGAGCCCCCGAGCACTGGCTGGCAGCCATTCTGCAAAGCTTTTTAGCACACATTAGGTGCTAGGAAAGCAGCCTGCAAACCGCAGCTCTCCGTAACCCCAGGGGAACCCCAGGAAACTGAAGACTCAACCAGGCACCTGGAGCTACAGAGGCTACCGTCATCGGCTGAGCAAGGTGCTGGGCCCTGCTGGACACAGGCCAGAGCAAAAGGCTTCGAAGGGACAGCGTATCGCAAGGTAAACAACTGCAAAAGCTGCTCTTTCTGATAGAGGCAGGCCTGCTGGCAACCAGATACGAGGGGATCCCATGCAAAGAGGGAGAGGTCCTTCAGCTCAGTTCTTTCCATTCAGTCAGTTTATTTGACAGACAAGCCCGCTCCAAGCAGATCGGCCAGGCACAGCCAACACAAGCAGGCTGCAGGTCAACCTCAGTGCTGTGAGGTGGGAGACAATGCTCTCCAAAAAACCCTACACTGCCTGGCTTTATTATAGTGCAGCTGTACAAAAGGAGAAAAAGTCAAGTGCTTAAAAAAAGGAGGTTGTCCCATCACAATCGCTGCAGCCACAGAATGAATGGTCCAGAGAAAGAGGCGGCCAGGGTGTCTCCAGGCACGTAGTGTCCATCATTCACAGCTAGATCTGCTAAAAAAAAAATTACATATGCCCCCCTCCCCACCCTGCAGAACGGGAGCTTCTCATTGATGGTTTAACTGAAAATTAGACATTATCAACATCCCTCCCCCCACCTGCTTGTCCTCCTTAGAAATGTCCAGCCATGGTCTTAGCAGAGAATAATCATCATCTTCTCATCAGCCCCAGTTATAGAAATAGATTTTCTGCCAAGCAGGCAAGTAATCCATCAGTGGCCCTGAAACAAGAGAACAGAGGGATCACACATGTAGAAAGGCAAGAATTTGAAGCTCTATGTACACAGGGTATATCCCCCCTTCTCGTTCTGATACCAAATAATCCCAAACCTCCAGTGATACAACTCAGAAGACCCCGAGAACAGAACAATTACTTTTGCCAAGAGGGGAGACAACTTTGGGATGTGCTGCCAGAGATCAGACCAGGGGTGTGACACATGGCCGGCACGTCCATGGTGTGGGACGCCATTCCCTCAGAGCTGACACATCCAAGCCCCAGAGAGAAGGCAGAGGGAGGGTCTACAACGTGCAAGGGGAAAACCCGCGTGCAGCAAGTCAGGAGGACACTGCTGTGGCACAGGGATGAGGGAAGACAACTCAGCAATAACAAGCAGGTGCAGACACACTGCTGTAGAGTGAAAATGCTTATGTAGCACATGGCTTAATGCAGGCTCCAAAACCTCTCTGAAATCACTAACTGGAAGAAGCGGCTCGTAAGCTAGCCAGCTTTGTGACCTCCGCAAAGAAAGGGCAACCCCACAGGCTGATCTAATGCCACATCACTGCCACGAATCACTCCAGGATAGGCTTCACACCAGCAGGGAAGAAGGGAAGGTGGAATTCTGGCCCATGATAAAGGGATCCTCTGATGAAGGACTAGAAGACAGACCTGGTTCGGCCCTTTGATTTACAATCGATTCCTGCCTGGGTCAGTAGCTCTAGGCACCTATTTACCCCTCAAGTCTCCACTGCAGACTGGGGATCAAGGAAAAGAGTTCAGAAACAAGGCTGCAAAGCAGGGCTCTGGTGCACCAGCTGAGGTGCAGAAAGGGAGACCAGGAACACAGGCCTAGGTAGCAGCGACCGAGCTCTGCAGCCTGGGAGGGCATACAGAGGTTTACGACTGTGGTCCAGTCACAAAGAAATTCATCCTTTCCTCTTCCAGTTTAAAACAGCACAAGCATCAACACAGGGTGCACCGGTGCTAACCATTCTAGGGACTTCCCAATTCCTTCCTCAAGTTGGAAACCAACTGACAAACGTTCTGCCCAACTCCCCTGACTTTTCTCCACCCAACAGAAAGACGGATATAGCAGTGGGGCCCACTTACGTGTCACAAAGCCAACTCCAGGCACGTAATCAGCCAACAAGCGCAGGAGGAGGAGGATCCTGCCCCTAGGAAGGGAGAGAGTACGAATGAGTCCAGCGGGACACCTCCTGCCCCAGCTGTTGAATGCACGAACAGCAATGGCAGCTCTTACGACAGGGCTCAAATTAACCTGGTCACAGGCACCCAGACCTCTTCAGATCTACTCACCCAGTCCCTTGACGCTATTTCTGTTAAAAGGGAAATTTTCAGCAAAAGCCCAGCAGGGGCCCCTTACTCTGAATATCGGTCATAGAAAGGAGATCTCAGCAGGTAGTACAGCAGTAGGATGGTTCGTCGCCTCAGCTCCGCTCGCTCTCGCCTGTTCAGGTCTTTCAGATCACTCAGCAAGCTCAGACTGGAAAAAGGAGGGCAGAGAGCTAACTCACGGCAACAGCAGGGAAAAGAAAGTAGGTTTCTAAATACCCTCCGTTCTCAGCTCCACACAGAGCAAGCTGCACCATCTCAGAACAGAGAGCACTGTAAGTGTTGCAGAAGATACCTAAATGTGTCAATCTTCCAGCTAAAGACCAGCCCCTGCGCGTATTTCTCTCAGTAGGGCCTGCCCAGAACAGGGGAATGGGGGTGAAGTGTGATGCTCAGCCACCATCAACCTCAAGCACCCACAAAGACTCTTCCTCAGACTGACCTTGAGATGTCCAGGACTGCTGAGAGGAGCCAGGGTTTCCACGATCTCTGGCCCCACACTCCTAAACTCAATACTAGGAACACACCGTCAAGGAATGGAAAGAATGAGTGATGCCTAACAAGAGGCACACAGATAAGCGATCCCCAGGTACCAGCAAAGCTCTGCTGAGTGCAGGAGAATACAATCTAAGGCAGTGCTGGGGGGCCCAGGGGAAGGGCTGAAGGACTTGCACCCACAACTCCAGTGGTGGAGGCTAGCCATCAAGGTCTAAGAGAAGGGAGGAGTCCTGAGGCCCCTGCCTAAGTGGAGCAGCAGCAAGGAGAGAGAAGCCTGGCGTGGCACTGCCCTGCACCAGGGCCGAGCCCGCAGCACCCTCTGCCGACACCTGGGTTTGGTGAGAGCCCGCACGCAGCCAGGGCAGGATACGATGGAGCAGAGGGCGGGTAATGTAGAGGGATTCTGCGATGGTTTCTTGGAGACCCAGAGGGGTGGGAGGCTGGTTCATCTCCTCTGCTCTTCGGCTCTGCGACTCCTCCCTCTGCTGGGGGGACCCCCAGTGCCGGGACTGCAGGGATGGGGCTGAAACAACAGATCAGGTCACTAACACAAATAAAACCTTCCTACCGCGCTTCCCCCGCACCACCACCCCGCTGCTTTCTACGCCGTGAAGGCGTGAAATGGGTAAGCTTGAAGAGGTGTGCACACAGCAACTGCTGTGGCTGACCAGCACCCTCAGAGCTTGCCTCCAGAGAGGACAGAGCAGGGAGAGGTACTTGTAACATCCGTGCTCCTCAAAGCATAACCATGCTGAAGGGTTGTCTCCCTTGGGAAAATACAAGTTAAGTGCTAGCCTTGCCTGAATCCCCGTTGCTGATATCCCTCCACCCACAGGGCCCAGTGACTGGCAAGATATGCCCCAATACGAGGTTCTGCTCTTTACTGCCCACACTCAGGTCGTACATAAAGGCCACAGAGCAGAAACAGCTCAGGCAAGGACAGAAAACCAGCTCAGCTACTTACTGCTCTGGAGAGAGCGCATAACACGGCTGGAACGCTTGCCAACATAGGTCTGATCCTTCCCTGAGGAGCTGTCTTCCATGTCTGCAGGAGAAAACAGCCACAGGGGTCAGGCTCCAAAGGAACACGCCTCCCTAGAGCTGGCAGCACCCTTCCCTACATTGCCATCAAGAAGACCAGACTGAAAGTTTGATCTAGCGCAAACCGGACCATCCTAAAGGGACTAACATTACACAGAGGGTGAAAAGGTAAATCTGCCTCACGCTGCCCAGGCCGAGGATCTCCTTCCTCACCATGAGACCAGGGGACACGCAGCCTGACTCACAGTTCAGCCAGTGGTTCCAAGCTTAGACTCCTCCACTCCCTCCTTCCAGACTGCAGGACAACCCTGACACTAAGCTAACTCGTGCTCTGCAGAGTGTGGAAAGCTCAACGCAATTCAGCTTTGCGTACTGAAGCCTTACAGTTCCCTGTGCTGCCCGAGCCGCTGCTCTGATGAGTAATTCCTAGCAGGACAAGACATGTGGCCCAGCGAGGCGCCAAGCCAATGATGACAGCACCATGGGCTCACCTTGGGGGTGGAGAGGCTGCTGCTGCTCCCTGTTCAGTGGCACGATGGGAGGAGATGTCTGGATGCCAGCTTTGTACCACAGCAGGAGCAGGAGACGAAGGATGGCTCTGTGAGCAGACACATGGAAGCCTTCAATACCAGGCTACGGAGCTGGGTTCCTGTCACACTGGAAAGGTGGCTTCCACAGAAGGAAACATTCAGGTCTGCTCAGGGCAACTGGCAAGGTGAGAGGGATAAGTGCCGCCTTCTGTGGCACAGTATCCAGCACACCGTGGTGCTCCAAATTCCCCAGCCTCAGGGACCGGCAGCTCAGTCCTGCTTGGGCTTTTTCCTGGGGTACTGCTAAGTCCCCTCCAGATCCCCTTTCCGAACGCAAGCTGCCCCTTCCCATCCACCCGCAGCACTTACTTGGCGAGCTGGATGAGGACAATGATGGTCCACCGGCCCATCTCCCCCCACACCCTGGCTGTCCCCATCTCTGCAAAGACCTCCACGCATTCTAACACACTCAGCCAGGTCAGCAGCTTCTGCTGGGGCAGTGACTGCAAAACACAGAGGGGAGGAGGGGGACAGGATGCAGGTTCTGCTTGGGAGTTAAACGGGGCAGAAGCATAGCCCAGTCTGGTGCGACCCTCAGAAATAAGCACCAGATGGCCTTGGAAGTCACAAACCCCCACAGAAAAAGTGGTGCCTCCACTGTGGCCAGAGTCTATGTACAAGCCCACTTCTCCACCTCCAAGCAGGGGCAGACCGAGACATCACGGTATCACACAGAGCTGCCACCCCAGAAACAGGGAGAACATCCCAGCTGTATCTTAGATCGCCTTCTACCCCGGCTGACACAGCAGGACAGTCTCCCGGGTTGTGGCACTGTGCCTGAACTCCATGGCAAAACTCTCTCCTCCTTCTCCTTGTCCCAGAGTTGGGATACATGACAAACCTCCTCCCTGGTTAGATTTGATGAGGGAGTATGCTTGGAGTAGAGGGAAAGGGACCCAGAGTCCACAATCACACCAGAGCAAAAGCCTGCCTTATACAGCATCAGTCTAGATTCAGGCATGAACTCAGGTGCTCTTCCAGCCTGGGTCCCTGCTCCCCACGCAGGAACTTGCTGGTGCTGTCAACCACAGGATTTAACCCATTGAAAAGCATCAATAAAAACAATACAGCTGAAATTCACTTTGGGCTTTAACAACCAGGGAAGCAAGTCTTCTGGTTTTCTGTTTGTTACGCACCTGATGCTCCAGCCAGAGAGCAGCCTACACCCAAACCCACACAGCGGGCAGGCTTGCAACATCAGAGGCCTGTCTGGAAAAAAACACCCTCCTCCTCACTCCCCAAAGGGTCTAGCAAGTGCTGGGAGCCAGCCTGGAGCTCTTGCAACAGAGACATAGAAGCAAGGTGCTTATGTTTGCTTTGCTCAATAGCGTACGCAAATGAAGAGTCCAAGGGACAGAATGAGAGCTTCAGCGCTCCAGAGCCACTGCTCTGGAAACAGCGATGGTTACTCGGCAGCACCTTTGCCTAGCTCAAGTTCTGAGCTTCTCAAAAAAACAGTGGAGCTCCTGGTGCAAGTTAGGGCCTGATTTCTGTGGTCTAGGGAGTGCTCTGACCACTCCTCCAAACCAGGAGCTACGGGGCAGGGCTGCTGTTTACCTACACTCAGAGGTTGCCTCTGGCCTCTACATACCTGAGAGCAAAGACCTGTTAGTTTCTACAAGCACTCCCTGAACGCTCCTGCAAGGAAGAAAGCATGTGTCCCAAATCCTCCCCACACACACTCCAGCCTTACCACGGGCAGGCTTCGCTGCAGCTCCTTTCGGAGAATCCAGTCATTTAATAGCACTAGGAGATTGGAGGCAGAGTACACTAGAAAAGGAAAAGGAGAACACCACAGTTACAGGATGCACAGAAAGCAAAGCAAACCAAACCGGGACTGCTGCCTCTTCCCCTGGCAGGGGTTAAGGGAAGAAGAGCAGCGAGACGTGCAGATTCCCCCCACAGGCTGCCGGAGGATGCAGTCAGGTGTGAAAAAAGACACGGGGTCCGGGGAATGGCCCCGCATGCACCCCCGCAAAGGC